TATATATATATATATATATATATATATATATATATATATATATATATATATATATAGATATATATATATATATAGATATATAAAAACCATTATATCTATATATATATATAGATATATTAAAACCATTTCTTTCACTTCGTCTTCGACTAGTTGTAAAACAAAAGTATTTCAAATTTTCAAGGCCAAGCGGATTTTGGCCGAACAAATTGTCAAGACATTGTAACAGAGGATAATTAATTATTGCTTCAGTTAATGGCTATTAGACAATATTATAAAACAATTATACCATTCGTTCAGCTCATAGTCCTATACGACTCGAGCTCATGGTATAATTGTTAATTATAGCAATCCTTGGTTCATTCCTACGAATTAGTATAAAATTTAAATATATATAGTCAGTATTTGCGTTGAAAACACTATCTCACTATAAAGTATATAGTCCGAGGCTTTATCTTGATCATGGCTTTAAGAGACATCATCATGAAACTTATATCAAGACTTGGTATCTCTTATACAGTACTTCTTGTAGGAACCCAAATAGCGTAATTTTTAGCACAATGAAGACATCACAGTATATTACAATATTGCGTATTGTCTTCAGAATCGCATGAGAGCAGTTGTTTCACATCGAAATTTCTCCCTTTGACCCCAGACGAACCTGCAGTCATCCACTCTTTAACTATCTTTCTTACGCAACGCTTTGACCATTCATTCATCCATTTTTGACCATCGTGGAATACACTGTTCTCTGGGCTGTTAAAGACGCTTGAATTAAATTTAATCTCTCCGTTTTGTATTGCAAAACCTTCGCCAACGACGCTCTCCGTCTTAGATTCACCGAAGACATTTCTATAGACAGCTCCGTGAACTTGACCAGGCTCTTTACCAATCCACTTCTTAACATTTTCTGAATCTGTGTCTTGAATGGCGATATAGCCAGACTTACAGCGAGTGTTGTTGGCGGTTCTCCATTCTGACTTGCCGTCGTATTGGTAAATAATCACTCCACCATAGTTGTGACGTTTTTTATATGTGTCAGATTTGCACGAAATATGCATTGTTTCGATAATGACGGTTTGTTTTAACCATGACCTTATCATAATTCTGTCCTTCGATCTCGATAGAACAAAGTTACCACCATAAAAACCATCCACTTCCATCGGGATTGCAATATTACTATCTATAAATGAGTCATATACAAATTTACTTACCGGCAGGTCAAATACGAATTACGTCTCATGCTTTGCTGTACATGCACGATATCTCTCGTTTGTATATTCATTATATTTTGGTGATAACCATTGCTTGCGTGCATGCAGAACACAGAATAATTATATATATTGCGACTTTAAAAGCGATCATCAGCGAATACAAGATTATCAACGAATATAGATTCTCTCATCAAATCATATATTTTACAAAAGGAAAACCTTCCACTAACTTATAGGTTTGATGGTTGGTCCGTTGGATGCATGTGTCCAACTGTTAATCTTATTAGACTTGTTATGCTCTGCATTAAGTAAATCGTTATTAACCAGACAGTTTAATACGTGTATACGCCTGCATATCAAAATAAGTCTCACTATATTTTGCCTAATGTGCATCAGATAAGTTGCCAGTGTTAGATAAGGTGCCAGTACAATTCCTGGGCTACTGTGTATTATGCAACTATAGAAGTTTCGAGCGCGTACGCACTCTTAAAAATAAGTGTGTTATATAACATACTTATTTTGTCCAGAAATTAGCACGGGTTATATAACACACTAATGTGTTAGATAACACACCCTAGGGTGTTTTTGGCTTGTCCAAAAATTAACACGCTTTACGTGTGTTATTGAAAAATGTGTGTTATTTAGCACACAACAGTGGGTTTAAAAACACACAACAGTGTGTTATTGTTAAGTGTGTTATCTAAAAAAGTGTGTTATTTAGCACATAATAGTGGATTGCTAAAACACACTTTTATGTGTGCTAAACAAAACACATACTGTACCAGCGTTTCTAAACAGTAAACCCACAACAGAAACACACTTTTAAATGTGTTACAGAATTTCAGATAAAAGAAATTAAATTTTAATACTGGAATCGTGCATACACTTTATTACATGTACTTTAACATATTTACAAATATGAATGGAAAATCTGGGATCTTTAATCAAAATGCGGCCTATAGGCTATAATCTATACAGCTATTTCACTTAAGGTTGTCCCCGAGCAAAGCGGAAAAGTGGAACACAAGCGCGAAGGGCTGGTGGGAATCGCTAACAAATTAATGAATTTGTTAGTGATTCCCAGCAGCCTTTCGCGCTCGTATTCGACTTTTCCAAATTCCGCTTTGCTCGGGGACAACCTTAATCCGTAGTGTAGCCCTGGAATGTTAACAAGGGGGGCTCTCCAACAGGGGGCGAAACTTCAGTATTACGGCTGGGGGTTAGCTTGTAGATGCAATTCTAAAGAACATTCTCGTTTAAGATTATTCAAAAATTATAGGGCGGGGGCTCACCCCCCCCCAAGTCAACATGAAATTTAACAGGAGGCTCAGCCCCTGAGCCCCCCTCCACTACACTGCTGAAATTAATTGAAATAGCTGTGTATACTACGGAACGCAAAGTTTGCCAAAAGTTTGGCCCTATCAAAATGTAGAATATTCACAATATTGGTTGAATGATAAAACAGGTCAAGTAAAGTTTCTTTGGATTTTTTGCTACTGATCATACGTACAAAGCAAAAGTAACTCTATGCAACTATATCGTTAATCACTACCTACACTGACACTGCTTACACAATTTCCACACTGTCCAAAAATGTGAATATATTATTTGTTCATTTAACCTTCAATCACAATCAGTTTCTCCTTCGGAAAATCTTTCCTCCGTAAATGTCAATTATAAAGGCATTCAGGGTTATCCACTAATTTCCTTGCATTACAAGGTTTGTGTCTACTGGAGACATATGATGTAAGATTGAAGAAAATTCCATGAGTACCAGGATACTGTAGGATTGTAAGGATCTGTGCACATCTATCTAGCAAAGAATACAAAACAGCAAATGTATTAATTAATGTATTAAGAAAAAAAAACAATGCTTAAGTACATCCTACTCACATGAGACATGTATGGAAAAGCAGAACATATTTGCAAATATTGAAATAAATCTTGGGTGGATGCATTATGAAGGGGAGGGTTGAATGCATTATTATAGGGCATTCTCCTCCGGAAAATGTTTGGAATTTGAAGTCATGAATGCCATTTCCTGCATTCTGAGCAATTAACATCAATCTATATTTATTAAATTTGTCCTCAACAATTAGGAAAGTAAACCTTACACTCTCTCCCTCAAAATAAAATTGTCTGGTGTCAGACAGAGTAAAATGATAAACAATGGTGCATCAGGGAGCATTGCCAATGATGTGCAAAGCGACGCTACCTACATGTACAGTATAATCAAAACACTGACAATTTTATATGGTTTATAAATACTCGGCATTAGCCCTTTGTGTTAACCCATAAGGTGCATTGCATGCCAATTTATCCTACTTTATTATTTTAATCTGCCTACTGCAAGATAATTTTACAGGTACTTGTCAAGGAAAGATTTTTGTCCTTTAATGGGTTAACTGGAGCACCTGTCAGTGTGTTCGGACAGCTCGGTTACTGTAGTCCTTTAACTCTTTAAGTAGCATTGTACCCTTTCAGTGTTATTTTATTCCACAAGACGGGACTGCTGGAACTTGATAGTGGCATTGTGCTAAGTGGACCCTACTTGTTATTTTACATGTACCCTGTCTCAAAGCAGATCATCTCAAACCAAATCAAGGATGAGAGTTGACAATTAATGGGTTGATATGTCAAATCAGCCATCCATCTAGAGAGAAGTGTCATGAATTTGGTTCAACAGTAAATTCGACAAATAAACAACTCCACAAAAAATTAAATTAGTGGAGAAAATTCAGCTTGTAAGGGGAAGCATATATCGACAATAGTTAGCGAGTGACACATGAACCCTTCAATTGGCAATGTGCCCTACTTTATTACTTTACTCTGTCTAATGCCACATTATTTTACTCTGTCTAACACCAGATGATTTTACTCGTCAGGGGGAGAGTGCTGCCACTCAATGTGCCATCTCAGTGATCTCACCTTAACACTACAAGTAGCAATTAATCTACTTGATTACTTCAAAAGCAGTATTTAACAGGGAAGCCAGTGACACATCAACAAATTAAAATCAATGGTACAAATGACAGTCCAATTGCATTTTGCCATTGAAAAATCATATTGATACATCACCATTTCAAGAAAGAAAAATTACTTCATTGTAGTGTTACCTGTGTCAAATGCGCCATTTGTCCAGGACGGTTAAGAGATGTGCCATCTCACCTTAACACTACATGTAGCAATTAATCTACTTTAAAATGAGTACAGTATCTAACAGGGAAGCCATTGAGCAAGTGTTATATAATTAATCACTGGTGAAGTCCAATTGCACTTGCCATTGAAAAATTATATCGACAAATCGCCATTTCAAGAAAGAAAAATTACTTCATTATAGTGTTACCTGTGTCAAATGCGCCATTTGTCCAGGACGGATAAGAGATGTGCCATCTCACCTTAACACTATACATGTAGCAATTAATCTACTTTAAAATGAGTACAGTATCTATTATCTAACA